CAAATTCAAAGATGCAAATGAGAAAATCAGCAAACTGGTTTGAAGTGCAGAAATCATCATAAAATAGCAAGTGAGATTCTGTGATTAACTCAGGAGTGAATCTAGGTAATTGTTTTCTAAGAAAACTGTAATTTTGCTAGAAAAAATGGGGCTTATTCACCCCTGAATTTTTTTCAGGTATCAGTTGAATTCATACCATTGGTAGTATGATAGCACTTTTCTATAAGGTGATGACAGCATGATATATTCTTTATATAACATGGGAAACCTGCTATGGGAGAATCAGACTCTTTTACACCCTTGAATCCTGCCTCTGACATAAATGGCCCAGAGCGCTGGTTACATCGTAGTCCTGCGTGTTGAAGGAACACCTTACTCTCCCAAGAGCTTACATTTAAACACAGATATTTCTACTGCTTCAGCAAACCTCCTACTCATCACAAGGGAGAATCATTGTGTGTTCTCAGTACATATGTAATTAATTTTGTACAAAATGGAAGAGCTCCAAAGAAAGCCCAGGTCGGAACGCTCTCTAAGCCAGTGGCTTTAGCAATCCCTTAGAAACACAACACCTTCTGCCAGGCACATCACAGGCACGAGTTAGAAGCCCTCCTATTTCAGGACCCACACTGTTAGGCTAGTTGAGTTGGTCAGACCATACCGATCCTTTTTCAGCTGTACCTTATAAAAAAACCCATGTAGCTAGGGTATATCACTGCTAGTGAAAACACCTCTTTAATTTGTTCTTTCAGGCGGAGGCACAAGCAACCACTGGTTGCTGAATTAGAAACAATTCAATGTCTATAAGATGGTAAATAAAGTCCTCCTTCCTCCTTGGCATAATGTTTAGCGTCTTACAGGTTGAAGTGTTCTCTGACACAGATGGGCTTGATTCTGAGTTGCCGCATATTAGTGAGTGCTTAAACTGCTAAGTTATTGGGTAAAAGTCTGGCTTTTCCTTCATCAATTTTGGGAAGCAACATATTCAATTCATTTGCATAAGCACCAAAATGAAACATTTTATTTTAGTTAAATGGAACATTTTAGTCACCGGGGAATGTTTTTGCTTCTTTTTCATTTCCATGGAAAGAAATAATGGCACTTAAAAAAAACTTGGGTTTAATATTTTTGCTTGCTTGGCAGTTGGACTGAAAATCAATCATTTACCCTCTTGGAGAGCCCCCTCCACCAAATATATTCAATATAGTAACATAGATGATTGCTTAGAATGAAGATTTTGCAATGCATCTACTGGACAAGTTTACCACAAGTGGGCTTTTTTTTTTTTTTTCCAAGTTATTCCAAATAGAAGGTGTTCATTTGTATCAAGTTCTACTGATTGCTTTTTTTGCAAACTTTTTCCTAAAGTTGTGCCAAAAATGTGGAAGACAAATGATTTTTAACCTTTGTTTCCATATACTTCTATTAAAAAATGGATTAAAAGTAATCATTCACACCCCATCATAATAAAAATGTCAATGCAAACTGGAGCAGCAGCCAACGTTAATTCCTCCAACCACTGGAACACTCTGCCCCACATGGCTGAGGAAGTTTTATGGTGTGCAGTAAAGGAGCTATGGAATCTCTAAACAATACAGACAAAAATAAATGCTGAATTGTTGTATCATTTGCCAAGCAGACATCATTTTGAGTTCTGAGCGATTCAAGGACATGGTAGAAAACCACATGATTTTAAACATTATAATGTGTAGTACACAGGCATAAGATTGAGACTGTACAAGGAAGTTTTGCTCATTTTTTCCATATTTTTGAGTTATTTCACTTTAGAAGCAGGACAAATGATATTACGTTGAAAGATATACTGATTTATTATCAGGTGTTATCAAAAAACTCTCATTGATGTCATGGGTATTAAGGGGACTGCATAGACAAAAGCATCTTTCACCTGACTTGACAATAAAGCTTTGGCAAATGTCAGAATCCTCTATAACTCAACTTCACATAAAAAAAGAAGCTGACTTCTAGATTCACCATTAAATCTAAGTGTTCCGTAGATTTGCAGCTTTCACATAATGGATTTCTATCAAGAAGGTTTCATGGGTTGAGGAAATAATTGGTGAGATTCTCAGATGCCCAATAGAACTATTGTTGGTGAAGTGGCTCTGGTACTCCAGTTATTTCTGTAGGTGTCAGACTGCTTCTGTTCCATTAGCCTCTGTCTGCACTCCCAGGACCTGAAGTAGTGTAGAAGCTGTAGCTCTTGGGGAGCAAGGGCTGGTAGGATGCTGCCTTCATTTTAGGGGGAGATCCATCTCCACACAAATTTTCATTGCATTTTTTTAGAGTACAGAACACATCCTTGATACTAAGAACCAACTCACCCACACTCTGGGTTGTGTGCCCCAACAGGAAGATGTGAACATGCACTTTTTTTCTGTAAAACTGTGTGAACAAATATGAAGAAATTATATGAAGAAAATATTTTTATTCTAGGTCTACAATGTCTATACCAGGTGGATGTGATTCTTTAAAAGCCCAG